TGATTACATTCAGTTTTGTGTATTAGTAGCTCACGTGGAATAACCTTTTTTACGTATTTATTTATGTAATGGTATACAAATAATGTTAATAATGAGAGTACCCAAACATATTAATGTGTTAACTGACAGTAGAATGTACTAATCTGTTAATTATGTTATGGGATTAACTGACAGCAGAACATATTAAAGTGCTAAATATGTTATGGGAATAACTCATGGATTTCTTACACTGAAAAAATCAAAACAGTCTTTGTTCCACATAGCACGTTTCTTTTGTTGTTTTTTTACATTAGAAATTTTCTTTAATGTTACAGATTAAAGATACTATATTCAAATGATGGGAAATTCACTTAGGAAAACGCTGAGAACCTCCAGATTAAACATCAAAACTATAAATGGCTCTATAGAAATAGGAGATGGTAAAAAAAATAAAAGACTTCTTAGAAGAAGAAGATAGAAATCAAATTTTATAGTCCGGCTGCTGAAGTGAAAACGTACAACCTAAAAGTTTTGTAAAAACAAGAACTCAGATGCACAGGATACTGTTTCACTCATGTTTAGAAGAAGGAAGAACAATAGATTTGTCAAGGGTGTTAGCAAGTAGAAAATAATGGTTCAGTCTACAAAACATAATAAGCAACTTGAAAACAGCCTAGTGATAAAAGTAACTTCAGTCAGTATAGAGAGAACATGAACCAAAGGAGGGTAACCATGGGAATCTTTAGTCCATGAAGAAAAACTAACAACAAGAGAGGAAAGACAGTGTTCTTCAGCTTAAGAAGCAAAACTAACCTCAGGACAAGAACCAAAGGATTCTTTAGTTTATGGAATAAAATTGACCTAAGGTGAGGAGCCACAAGATTCATCTAGAGAGTAAACTATTCTTAGAAGATGAACCACAAAATTTATCATACTAGAAAACAAAACAAACCTCAGGTGAGAAACCATAGGATTCATCTAGGAAGTAAAACTATCCTTAGGGAAGGAAAAACAGGACTTTTAGTTCATGGAGCAAATTCAACCTCAGGAGAGGAATCACAGGATTTATTAGTTTAGGGAGCACTACTCACATCAGGAGAAGAGCTACAGGATTCATCTAGGAAGTAAAAGTAATCTCAGGAGACAAATCACAGGATTCTATGTTCTAGGAAATAAAATTAACCTTGGGAGAGGAATCACAGGATCCTTTAGTTCATGGAGCAAAACTAACCTCAGAAGATGAGCCATAGGATTTCTCAAACTAGAGAGCAAAACTAACGTAAGAAGATAATCCACAAGATTTGTCATGCTATGGAGCAAAACTAACTTCAAGGAAAAAGCCAAGGGATTCCTCAAACCAGAGAATAAACCAACCACAGGAAAACAGTCAGAATACAGACCCTTTAATCCTCAGGGGATATTTTCATCAAGTTTTAAACAATTATAAGGAGCAACAGTGCAAATTTTAATGAAAGTACAACATTTCACCAAGTTAACATGGCATCATCAGGTTCGTCAACTACAATGAATGGATTGAAACTACATATATATATATATATAATATAGCGCAAGGGTACATTGAACTTTGATTGGGTAAATTTAACAGTAAGGTATGATATTTCCAGATAGGGTTTATTGATAGGGCTTGACTTCTTCAGGGTCATTGTCCGTAATCAACAAAATAGGAGAATATAAGTGCTCTTTCAAAAATATTATAACAACAAAATTTATAAACTAAATACTGTAACATGAAAATTGTTATGACAGAGTACTTTCTTTCACTGAATTATAAGGAGCATAAACTACAGGGATGAGAAAGAACATAACCATGATTCTACTTACCTAAGACTTTTAAAGCTTCTTGATCAACTGCCCCCTATTTGGGAAAAATTATCAAGTATGATCAACATGTTATGTTTATGTATAGTTTCAGTTTCAAAGTGTTAAAAAAGAAGCTATTTTAAACTTATGGTTTCAATGTCAGAATTTATCGAGGCACTGAAAACCAATAGACTTCAAATATGTGATAATAACCATGTAAAATGCAGATGTTTTTTTTTTTTTTTCACATTCATCTTAATTTGTGCATTTTGGATTCAAAATCATAAGTGTGTAAAAAATTGAATTTTAGAGCTGTTTTTTGTCTATCACAAACCACTGCCTAAGAGACATTTCAGTCAATAACAGAACTCATTAGCTGGGCTGCATCATAAAAGACATTCTCTAAAACACTATTTATATTTGTGCAGTATGATACTTTAAAGTCACGTGATACTACAATTACTAATATATACAAACTGATCTATTCTAATGCAAAACCACTTGATACTACAATTACTAATATATACAAACTGAACTATTCTAATGTAAAACCACTTGATACTACAATTACTAATATATATATACAAACTGAACTATTCTAATTAAATCCATTTGATACTAAAATTACTAATATATACAAACTGAACTATTCTAATTGTAAAACCACTTGATACTACAATTAATAATATATACAAACTGACCTATTATAATGTAAAACCACTTGATACTAATATAAAAGTAATAAAAAATTTAGTATGATGTAGGGATGGCAAAAAGTGCAGAAATAAGGTAGGGATGAATACACAAAACCATGCAAAAATCACTACATAAGTAAACAGTAAGTACTGAGTTAAGCTTAGAGTTATTAGCCACTGTAAGATTGTATAGTACTATTCAGTTTAAATGCTTTTACTCAAACCTGAACTCATGTAACTGACAGTAAATCAACATTTAGTTGTAAAAAAAAAAAGAGTTTTTCTTGGAAAGATTTCGTTACTTATGTAGCCTTAGGAAACAAATAAATTATTAAATCACTTATCACAAAATTGATCTATATTTGATTATACATAAACTATTATATCTAAACGAAACTATGTCATCACAAAAAACTTTAAAATTATGATAAAAAGTTCAGAGAGCCTTGGATAACAATAAATGTTCAGAGTTACTGGAACACACATTTGTTTAAATATGCACTACTGGCACTTGTGTTTAAAAAATTTTTAAATTATAATAAATAATTAAAAACAAGGTTTTATATTTACACAATAAAAACTTTATTGAAGCAGTACGGCTTCCACTTTGGAATAGAAATATTACTCTACACGTACGTTTCGACGTGATCTACGTCATCATCAGGAGTAACTTTCAAGACTATTTTATACTTTCCCCTTGTCGCATTACTTCATTGTTACTTGCATATTTCCTTAGTGTAATTGAAAAAAAATAATAATAATATATCTCACCATATATCAACATATTGACTTGCTGGTCCTTCATCTCTAGTTAATACTTGTTTTTGATTTTTATATTTCATTATTTCTAATGTTTCTCTAATATTTAATGACATAAAACCTCGAGGCTGAGCTAAAACTATAGAGCTTTGAAAATATGTTCAAGACAGGAAGATTTAAATAATGATTTGTTATTAATTAAGTAACTAGCTATTGATAGAGGATTTGAACCAAATATAGTAGACAAACCATTTAAGAAGTTTAACAAAAATGCAAATTCAGTTTAAAATATCATATTAAAATCTGTTTATGAAAAAAAAAATGTAAGTTTACCTTACATTCCAGGTTTAACAAGTCAATTATATAAAGTATTTAAAAAGTATCAGAATTTTTACCCTATCTCATACCAATAAATAAGATAAAAGATATGATAGGGAATACTAAAGTCAGAATAGAATTAGCAGATAAAACAGGTATATACAAGACAGAATGTAAATGTGGTAGTGTTTATATTGGTCAAACAAAAAGAAATTTAAAATATAGATTGCAAAAACACAAAAGTTACATAAGAAATAATAAAAAAGAAATTTCAGCTATAGCCGAACATGTAAAAACTACCCAACATACAATATTACGGAAAAAACTTTAGTTTTAGCTCAGCCTCAAAGTTTTATATCATTAAATATTAGAAAAACATTAGAAATAATGAAATATTAAAAACAAAAACAAGTATTAAATAGAGACAAAGGACCAACAAGTCAATACGTTGATATATGGCAAGATATGTTATAATTTTTGTTTTTTCAACTACACTAAGGAAATATGCAAATAACAATGAAGTAATGCAACAAAGGGAAAGTATAAAATAATCTGAGGATGATGTAGATCACGTCGAAACATGTACGTGTAGAGTGATATTTCTATTTTATAGTGGAAGCCATTCTGCTTCAATAAAGTTTTTACTGTGTAAATATAAAACATTGTTATTAATTATTTATTATAATTTATACATTTGTTTATACTGAATAATTTCAGTTTGTAATAATCTGGATCAAAACAAATCAAGGAATACTTTAAATTATACTAATTATAAGAGCTATCATCACATTCAATATAAGAATGTAATTACAACTCTGCTAAAAAAATGATAAACTTACATTTACAATTTGGCATGTTCTTGTCTCCAGCTTATTAAGTCTTAAACAGAGTTTCTCTTGTTCAGTCAAGTTTTCTTCCACTACCTTCTGAAGCTTTACAACACACAACATTAGTTGAATTAAGCCATATCATTTTGAACAACAGAAAATTATTTATAAGCTCACATTAAACTTAAAAATATAAGTATTCATATTGAACAAGTAAATGCTTTTAATAAAAAAATTTAAAATAGCAGAAAACTCTGTACAGAAAATTACTAAAGACAAAACAAAGAACAGCTAACTAAATATTAATGTTTAAATAAAGTTTAATTTACATAAGTATATCATATTTTCCATTGCCTTCATACAATATAAGCTAAAGTGTGGGTTATCAAATAAAACATGAAGGTTCTTTATAGCCTCCTCCACAAGTTAAAAACAACAACATATTTCTATAGGTTATATTTAATGTTGAGCAGTATGGGAATATTGTAATTATAGATTTCTTTAAGTATATAAACCAAGATGTTCAGATGGCTGTCATTCCACCTCTAGTTACACACTTTGTGAAATATGGATACGATGATAAATTGAGACCAAAGGCTTTTAACTACTACAAAATCAGTTGTAAGTAACATATATAAAAATTTACAACTAAACTTTGTAAGACAAAATATAGTTTTCATTATATACATATACGTGTATAGGCTATTTCCATAAAAAATGTTACCTCGCTTTCAAAATAAAGCATCTCATAGATTTGTATAGGAGTATGTATACATGTGTGCATGTATATTAAAATGTAGACTGACTTTCAAAACGTGTATGTAATATGGTTTCATAGGATTACACACACACACATACATATATATTTATACAATATTTCTATATAGATTTTCTTTAAAAGACAGTTTTACACACTTTTACCCATGACTTAACTTATAATAAAAGTTTTACACACTTGTAACCAGGACTTAACTTGTAATAAAAGTTTTATACACTGGTAGCCAGGACTTAACTTAAAATAAAAGTTTTATACACTTGTAACCATGACTTAACTTATAACAAAAGTAACATCTGAAAGAAGGTTAAACTTCACCACTTATCATTCAATAAGAATTCTAAGGAGTTAATGTTGCCTTAAATAATTAAAAAGTATAAATCTGAGGAACAGCACTTGACATGACCTATTCCTTCTAAAAAAAACACCTTTACCTAAACACATTAGTCAACCTGTGGTATCAACAGATATTCCTTTTAAAAAACATCTTTACCTAAACACGTTAGTCAACCTGTGGTATCAACAGATATTCCTTTTAAAAAAACATCTTTACCTAAACACGTTAGTCAACCTGTGGTATCAACAGATATTCCTTTTAAAAAAACAGCTTCACCATAAACACGTTAGTCAACCTGTGGTATCAACAGCTATTCCTTCTAAAAAACAGATTAACATAAAACATGTTGGTCAATCTGTCCGTATCAATAGCCATTCCTTCTAAAAACAGATTAACATAAAACATGTTGGTCAATCTGTGGTATCAACAGCTGTTCTTTCAAAGGATGTTCCACCTAAACTGTGTTGGTCAACCTGTGGTATCAACAGATATTCCTTCTAAAAACAGCTTCACATAAACACGTTAGTCAACCTGTGGTATCAACAGATATTCCTTTTAAAAAAACATCTTTACCTAAACATGTTAGTCAACCTGTGGTAATAACAGATATTCCTTCTATAAAAACAGCTTTACCTAAACACGTTAGTCAACCTGTGGTATCAACAGATATTCCTTTTAAAAAAACATCTTTACCTAAACACATTAGTCAACCT